CTCTCTCTCTCTCTCTCTCTCTCTCTCTCTCTCTCTCTCTCTGTGTGTGTGTGTGTGTGTGAATATGAGGAAATAATCAATATATATCGTTCCTATTCAAATCCAATTTTAGAGTGATCATTACTCCCATTTAGAACTTTAAGTTTATTGATCTTATTTTCAATGTGTCAATCAATATATTATGATTACGATCGTGTGTCGGAACCAGGGCTGTAATTTTCACTCTGTCAGTGCACGCACACAGTAGTGTACACAGCTAGGGTGTTTCCACATGGAAAATATTAAAAAGTGGCTAGTATCATTTTGAAGAGCGTAAAATTCTGTATAAGATTATTTGATTTTCGATGCTGATTGGTCGCCGATGTCACTTCCTGGACTAAAAACACATTTGTAAATTGATTTCATGTCGCATTCACGCCAGAATGAAATTATAAGATTGAACAAAATTAAAAACATGAAATATAATTTTAATATCAATATTATTGCTTAAATATTCAAAAAAAAGTAACACAAAAACTAACAATTTTACCACAATAAACCAAAACAATGCAAAATCGCCAATTCATTTGACACATAACCTGTCATTTGTCATGCGTGAGCGAATCACGTTTCAAATGTCATTCTTTTCAAATGTCAAATGAATTGGCGAATATGCAATGTTTTGGTTTATTGTGGTAAAATTGTGAGTTATTGTGTTACTTTTATTAATATTTAGGCAATTATTTTGATATTAAAATTATTTTGAGTGTTTTTAATTAAGTTCAATCTTATATTTTCATCAATTACAGATTTTGGCGTGAATGCGACATGAAATCAATTTACAAATGTGTTTTTAGTCCAGGAAGTGACATCGGTCACCAATCAGCATCAAAAATCAAATCATCTTATACAGAATTTAACGCTCTTCAAAATGATAATAGCCACTTTTTAATATTTTTCATGTGGAAACACCCTAGTACACACTCACATTCTATGTGCGTCGCATACAATGGTTGTATTTTGAATGTGCACGCACACTTAGTTACAAATTTGCCAACCGCCAAAAATGTCAAACTTGTGACTAAGTGTGAGTGCACCTTCAAAATACAAGCATTGTATGCGACGCACATAGAATGTGAGTGTGCACACTACTGTGTGCGTGCACTGACAGAGTGAAAATTACAGCCCTGGTCGGAACTAGGAAGTGTGTGCTTTGGTAATTAGTTTTTTTATTCTTTATTTTTTGTTCTCTTTTAGCACACATCAAATATGTATCGCGAACAATTTGTGTTTATATTGCTTTTGGCGTATAGCTTTCAGCCGATTTTAGCACTGCCTGGAGGTGCACCACAATCGGTGTGTCACTCGTTGTTACCATTTCATGGCGGTGGTATTCCACCATCCTCATCACGACCACCGTATCGTATAGTACCACACAATGTTGCCGTCAATCAAGGCCAAGTTTTACGCGTTGAAATCGAACCTCAATTTCCCGAATTAAATTTTGGTGGTTTTATGATTCAAGCACGAAATATCCGTCCACCATATCAAGTTGTAAGTACTTTTTTTTTATTAATAGCATCACACAGAAAATGTAAATAACCAACATTTCATAACCTCTTTGGTTTTGTTTCAAACATATAGATCGGTCGATTTGCACCGCCTCCGGACAATCAAGCTCAGCTTATTGATTGTGGTGGTTTTGACAATACTGCTACACATACATCACCCGCACCGAAATCAGGTATTTCCTTCCAATGGCAGGCACCATCGGACTTTTTGGGTGAAATTGTATTCAAGTAAGTGTAAAAAAACTCTAGTATTTTGATGAATTCTCATTAATTCACCATTTTTCTATTCAAACAGTGCAACAGTTGCTCAAGAATATGCCAAATTTTGGGTTGGAATCGAATCGCCTGTAATCAATGTTGTTTCACGTAATGTTCCCATTTTGCCATCATATAATAATGGTGGTGCCACAACTAGAAGACCGCCGTTTAAGCAATCCGTTCCAAATTACATTCCAACCAGCAACGATCAATACGTATGAGACTCAATTCAATTTTGGAAAATTGAAAGCCATAATGAATGTGTATCATTTTTTTTAGGAAGAACAAACAGATCCAATTTATGAAGGATGCGGTCAAACAAAAATATGTTTCGGATTTCCAGATGGATGTGTTAATTCAAAATCATGTCGAACGATAGCAACTTCAATTGTTCGCGGTGAACGATATGAATTCGAAATAAAATCAGCACCCGGTGAAAATCCAGCATATGTAGCAGTTGCACTGTCCAGTGACGATAAAATGGGTGATGACTCGGTAATGGAATGCGTCCCAGAAGCTGGACAAATTCGTGCATACGCATCATGGACATTACCACGACCAAATCTTGGTGTTACACGTCAAGGAATTGTAAGCCATTTTTGAAAAATAAATGCGTGTTTTTTTTGTCTTGTTTCATGTCATTTACATTCCATTTTTAGCCACAAAAATTTATCCGTCTTTTGGATGCATCGTATATCGACGGTGTAATTTATTGTCGAATTTCGCGTGACGCACGATCAACTATTTATGGAAAAGAATTCAATTTAATAAACACACAATATCATTTATTGGTTGCATCAGGCAGCAGTTTGAAACGTAAGTTGAAATTTGAACTGAATCGATCACAAGTACATGTTTATTAAGTAAGTAAGCAGAGAAACTCTCCACTAACATAGGATTCATATACGAATGGCGTGTGAGTGGAGTGTGTCATGCAAAATTTTGTCTACCAAAAATATTAGATTCACTGTATTTGCTTATCTTCTTCTATAGAAAATAGCGTTGGATATCATGATATTGGACGTTTAGCATCGGGATCTCCTAGCTATTTAGCAGATGTGGCTGTTTTCGGTGGCGCATCAAAATTGTTTTTACGCTTGCATGCCGCTTTCATGATTACGGCATGGATTGGAACCGCTTCGGCTGGAATTTTATTGGCTCGTTACTTCAAACAAACATGGGTTGGCAGCCAATTATGTGGCAAAGATCAATGGTTTGCTGTAAGTTTATTTTTTGTTACAAATCGATTTAAGCACAATCGACACATTCATACAATTGGTGTGTATTTCATACAGTGGCATCGAATGTTCATGATATTGACTTGGGGATTGACAATTGCTGCCTTTGTTTTGATTTTCATTGAGCTTGGTGCTTGGTCAGCCGAAGACAATCCGCATGCCATTCTTGGAACGATAACAACAATTATTTGCTTTTTACAACCAATCGGAACTCTATTCCGGCCAGCACCAACTTCCAACAAACGTCCAATTTTCAATTGGCTTCATTGGTTGGGTGGAAATATTGCGCATATACTTGCAAGTAAGAATATCTTACACATCATAGAATAAAACATAGAATTTCATATCTATCAACACGTATGTAACCATTTTTTTTGTTCAGTTGTCACAATCTTCTTTGCGGTGAAATTGGCCAAAGCCGAATTGCCTAGCTGGTTTGATTGGATTCTTGTAGCGTTCGTTGCCTTCCATGTGATCGTACACCTTGTGCTTTCGGTGAGTTTATTGAAATCCAAGCGTTTATCGTTTTTATCGATTACATCATGCATTTGCCGGCCATTGTTGTCATTCACCATTTGTTGGCAATCACAGTGAAGAATATCAAGTGCATGCATGGCAAGATCATTTGTACAAATGACTTTCAATTCATCGGTGAAAATCACTAATCAATTGTAATGGACAAAAAATGTTGAAATGCTCATCATTAAATTAGTGATTTTAATCGACATTGTTTATACATTTATGTTTTCATGTTATTTTGCATGTGACATGCTTTTTGTTTCTACTTTCCATGCTCTATCTCCTCCTGGTCATAACCATTTTTTTCATGTTTTTTATTTTCATTTATTGTTCGTTACTAATCACCCTATCCCTCTACCAAACATAAGATACATGCACCATTGTCCAAATTTAATTATCATTAGATTTTCTCTTGGATACAGATCTGTGGCTGTGTGAGTGAACGAAGTGCTCAACGTGTCAATAACTTCCCAATGGCTGATATGTCACCATCTAGAAGCAGCATGAAGGAGCGCAAATTAGATGCACCGGTATTATTATTTTTTTGCATTTTCCGCTGCATGAAAATGAGAGAGTTTCATTAATCAGGAAACTTTTTTTTTTTTAATTCAGTTCTCGGGATTGCGAAAGATCATTCTCACGATTTATATACTCATTGTGATAATATTCGTCGTTGTTCTCGTATTGATTGCTGTATTTGCACCGATCGAAGAGGCCATTAAATCATTGTAAAGCATGAGTGACAATTAGTTCTAGCCATTCGAATTTCAAAGTAAATTTATAGCAAAATGTATACACATTAGATTCCAGAGAGTCAAACAATAACCGTACAAGAAATGACATAGAAATTATAAATACAACTGGCAAGAGTCGTATATTTATTTTTTAAACGAAAAGAACAACAACAAATGACAAAGACTCGTCGTCGTATACCACATTATTTTATTTTGTCTGTCTTTCCATATTGTTTTTCGTTTAGTATATTTTTTTGATTTTTAAATATTCTCCATTGGACATCATCATTTGTAATAAACAAAGAAATTGCGGTCGTTATGAATGAATGGTAATTTTTTTTTGTATGAAAGAGATTGTATATGTGAGATCGAAATGTTTATTGTGTGCTATATTGTTCTCCGTCCAAGCAAAAGCTAATTTTTAATCAAATGCACGAATATAGATCATTTTAAGGACGAATTTTTATTTAGGCAATAGCTTTTGTATATGTATGTAATGTTTCTAACTGTTAATTTAAACAAACAAACTAATCATTGTGCAAATCAAAACACAATAAGGTATAAAAATAAATCTGATTTGATTCGATTGACCAAATGTTTACATGAAAAATAAATATTGGTTGCATAATAACAGGCGAGCGTTTAATTAAAATCATCTCTGAATTGGGTCCATATTTCAATGATAAATTAAAAACACAAAAAAAAAAAACGAAAAAAATAGACGAAAAGATACCGTGTTCGTGATTCACGATTACGAACCGTGAAATGGTAGTATATATTTATATATAGAGAAACGTCAGCGTTGACGTTTCAAATGTGTGAACGCATACAATCAACTGACAGTGAAAACACAATAAATATTTTAGAGTGAAACCGTCTGTGTGTTCAGGCATTTGATATTTTGCGTTCGAAGGCAAAACAATTTATTTAACGTTGTCATAATAGTTTAAAATTCAGTTCTTATTGAAATTATAAAACTTGTTTAACTTAATAAATTAGTATCGATTTAATAGGCCGCAAAATGTTATCAGTTTTGGGACAGGTAAATACTCGTTTTTTTTTTTTTATCTCGAACGTTGTTTTGTGCACTTTCTTATTTTGATGCGGGTACAAAGTTCAAGTCGTTTTTTTTTCTTCTTCTGTAAAATCGACCAATAAAAATAAAACTATTTAGTTTGATTAGTTAAATTTCGACAAAAATAGAATACGATTGTTCAAATCAAAGAGAATTCCGTGAAATATAACATACATTTTAACTAGCATTTTAATTTTGAATTGAAAAACAAAATGCACTGCCAAAGTACTTGAAAGTAATGCTTGATGTATCGATGCATAAACGAGTGGAATTCAAAAAAATATTTTAAAGCCCCAGGGATCCGCAGAAAAATTGACCAATTTAATCAAAATTATATGACTTTCGTCAATATATTTATGAAAGTACACATATATTCGGTAGTTTGTTGTACTATAGCGGCTATAGCTACTTGTCACAAGGTCGATCGAGTATTCTGGCTATGTTTTTTCGGAAGGGCATCTAAAGAGCTACAAACTGAGCAATTTTAATCAAAACTGTAGAATTTAAGTTCGAGTTACAAAGTACAAATGAACGCTCTAGAATAAAAACAACGTACAGAATGGTTGTTATATCAAAGTGGAACACGGCGTTTTTTTATATAGAATTGTTGTTGTAATACAGTAATACAGTACGTTGTTTTTATTCTAGAGCGTTCAAATCAAGTTTCCATTTTCCCATACAAAATCTTGGGAAAACTTCATTTTCAAGGAAAATCATATTCCAGGACGAATTTTCCAAAAAGAAAAATACCATATCTGTGGACTGGACTCAGAAATTCGAAAAAATATGTTTATTGTTGATAGCTACAACCTTGTTTGAGTTATGTCATAAACAAACAAACCGAAAACGATTTTAAAGCTTGACATACATCAAGCAATACGATTTTAGAACTATTTGCAATTTTTTCCACGAAAAATAAAACCTTGAAAAAAATGCAATGTTATTGACAAATGCGGTCCATTAGAATGTTGAATTATAGTTTTCATGATTTTTTGTTTTGGTTTTGTTTTCATATTGATAGCTTTCGCGTCAAAACACTCGAGTGATTTCTCGTTTGGTCAAAGTTCAAGGTGCAAATTCCGTGCGAAGCATTTCATTTGATTTGAGCGACGAGCAAAAGGAATTCCAAGAGGTTGCACGTAAATTTACACGCGAAGAAATTATACCGAATGCTCCGAAATACGATAAAACTGGTGAATATCCATGGGATATTATAAAGAAGGCCCATGCTGTTGGACTGCTCAATGGACACATTCCACAGGAAGTCGGCGGTATGGGATTGGACGTATTGACTGGCTGCATTATCGCCGAAGAGTTGGCATACGGTTGTACCGGCATTAAAACTGCTCTAGAAGCCAGCGGTTTAGGTGTAAGTATGATAAATGGTAGTTTGATCTTTGCACATAATTGTGTAATAAATAATAAATCATTTTCACGTATAAATATTGATTTTAACAGCAAACACCGGTTATTATTGCTGGCAATCCTGAACAAAAAAAGAAATATTTGGGCCGATTAGTTGAAGAACCAATTGTGGCTGCGTATTGTGTAACTGAACCGGGTGCTGGGTCCGATGTTAGCGGCATCAAAACAAATGCCGTAAAGAAAGGTGACGAGTATATTCTGAATGGTCAGAAAATGTGGATTACCAATGGTGGTGTTGCAAACTGGTACTTCTTATTGGCACGGACCAATCCAGATCCCAAATGTCCTGCTGGCAAAGCATTCACAGGATTTATCGTTGAACGTGACTGGGAAGGTGTGACTCCTGGAAGAAAAGTAAGCGCATTTCGAATTTATTTTTGTTGATGTTTTTTTTATTTCCACATTCAATTCAAACGACTTTTTTTTAATTTCAAGGAAATCAACATGGGTCAAAGAGCATCTGATACGCGCGGTATTACATTTGAAGATGTTCGTATTCCAAAAGAAAATGTGCTTGGTAAGGAAGGTGAAGGTTTCAAAATTGCAATGAGTACATTTGATAAAACTCGGCCACCAGTTGCTGCCGGTGCTATTGGTCTTGCTCAAAGAGCACTCGACGAAGCTCTGAAGTATTCTCTAGAACGTAAAACATTTGGTGTACCAATCGCAAATCATCAAGCGGTTGCGTTTATGTTGGCTGATATGGCAATTGGCATTGAAACGGCACGTTTGGCCATGTACAAAAGTGCATGGGAAACTGATAATGGCATTCGCAACAGTTATAATGCATCGATTGCCAAATGCTATTCATCTGAAATTGCAAATCGTATTGCCAGTGATGCCGTACAAATATTCGGTGGTTACGGTTTCAATACTGAGTATCCGGTCGAAAAATTAATGAGAGATGCAAAAATTTATCAAATCTATGAAGGTACATCACAAATTCAACGATTGATCATATCACGAGCTTTGATCGATGCCGCCAAATCAAAACAATAAAATTGCATGCGTTAGAAATATCAAATCAAATAAACACAACTATTTTTTTTTTTATACAAAAAGAAAAAAGAATTTTCTTCGGCTGCAAAAGTCTAACTTTGAATAAAAAAACTTGAGTTTTCTCCCAATGAAATTGTCTTTTATTCTGATGGTTTTAAGCAAATTTCTCAGAACGTGCCAAGTTGGCTGGAGCGTGAAAATTAACGTTTATGCGCGTCATGATGTCTTTTTGGCTACAAAATGGACGGCCAGAAACAATGACCATTTTATAGTCTGAGAAAAAAAAAAATTGAATAAAGGGAAACCCAAAGTTTAACCACGCAGTTCAACTAAACAAATCTTTAAGAGAAACCCAATCATGAAGGTCCTTATGCGTGTCATTTTTCCCTTCAAAAATAATAATGAAACATGAAATTGAATAATACAGTACACATTAGTGTTGAATTTAATACAAACAGTGATTGATGACCGATTTTATGTTGAAATCAGAGATAACAAATCAAGGAATGGTTCGTATATAGAAATCTTATAGAAGAATATTTTTACAGCTATTTTATCTATAGACTATAACTCCGCATGTTCGTTCATGCGGAAGAGGTGTAATGCGCTCAATAAGCGTAATGCTTTGTTTGCCGAACTTCGTATAGACAGTGCCATCTATATTTAGAATGGGATATTATTTCACAAGTTTGAGAATGAGCGCATATGTTATTCCAAAAATTGTTGAAAAATAATTTAATAAATTGTTTCATTTTTTTGTTTTGAAAATGAAGTTAGCACAATTAGCATTAGATAATTTCTATTTAAAAAAATAAATTTATATGCGTTTTAATTTAACTTAAAAAGCCTCGGGTGTGTAGATCTTGTAGAAATGATATTGTTAAAATCTCCACACGTAAACTTATAAGTGTGAGTGTGACATTTGACAGATAGATACAAAACGTAATGTTATTGTTCTCTTACATACTTGTCATACACTCGTGCGAATTATTTTGTTCTGTCAAGTTCGTTTATTCCGTTCATTTATTTTATTTATATTCTTAATCTCGCAATCACATCGCAAAATTGCGTAAAAATGGCAGATTCTATTAACAGTTTTATTGATCTTGACACCGGCTGTATAAAATATCCTGATGGAGACTTTACTTTTATATTAAACTTTATTCTGTTTAGTTCGCCAAAAGATAAAGTGAGGGCGTTAGTGTGACAGATTTCATTTTAAAAAGCTACTGTATTAGAGATCTTTCATGCGGTAGCCGCTGTGAGCTGTGTGTATGACCGTATGTAGGATACACGCTTATGCTTGTATTCTAACACAGCGATGAAAACTGTAAAGCATGAGCGAACATGCGGCGTTATAGTCTATAGATATAGTGCTATGTTATAGCTGTAAAAATATTATTCTATAAAATTTCTATATACGAACCATTCCTTGTAACAAATACATGCATTTATTGGGAAAAAATTGCTTGATTAATTATTTTTTTCATTTTTACCGGCAATTATTCACATTGTATCAGTCTCATAGTTTTAACGGAAAATGTTTGAAACGAGTGGAAACAATGAATGTAGAGAAAACAAGAAAAAAAGTCAGATTGAAGTGAAAGAAATGTCAAATCTATATCTGCCCGATTGTCGTTGACTACTTATAAATAACAAAATATTGGTTTTAAGATCTTATAAAAGGTTGATACGAATTGTGATCATTCTTTCATTTTAAGCATCCATTAAAAGTTTAATTTCTCGGTTTAACGATCGGATGTTCTGCCGATTACCCCTTCCTTGAATCGTCAACTCCAGAATCTATGACAATAAGACGATCTCTCTGCTGGAACAAAATTCGCAATTCGCAAAACTTATTGGAAAATTGCTCATTTTCGGTTATTTTTGTGTCGATATTTTACTTTGTGAGGAATATGGAACAACGTTTATTTCAGCTGACTTTAGTAGACTTTCAATTTGAAAGTTTCAAATGTAACATATACAGGGTGTTTCATATAAGTGGGCCACTTTTAAGGAGTGCAAATATCGAAAAACTCTTTTGGGGATATTTTGAGGGTGAAAAAATCGGTTGAGAAGCGCCTCTTAACACGTTTGGTGTTGTGTGCTAATGCTCCATCCTGGTGAAATATCAATCTTTTTCGATCGATATGATACATCGATTTTATACATCCAAAAAATCTGCTCAATCGTCATAATATTCTTTTAAGGTATTTCATTAAATTTTCACGAATTTCGATGCAGTGTTTTTATATTTGAGTAAATAATTTTTCTTATCGAAACCAATGAAAAATGAGGTCATGCATTTATTCATTATATAAATTACAATAAAATATTTATTGGCTTTGATGTGTGGAAGCGTTGTCAAGAGGTTTCAATATTTATATTGCTGTATGTTTCAAATGAAACCCTGTTAAAAACGGTCAAACGGTATTTTAATGAGTATGGAAATATTTATCACATTGATATTACTACGAACATACATATTCGAACATAAGATCGAACACGAATAGATTCTTTTTACGAACGAATGTTCAATGACCAATTCCGGCGAAATTTTGTACTACACCCCAAGAGTTAGCAAGCGGGAAATTGAGACTGGACCTTAATTCACCGAATACAGCTATAATTCAGGCCATTATCACGCTCCATGATCAATCTGCGGAAGCCAACTTCATTTCAGATCGATTTATATCGAAGCGTGATCATGCCCGTAACTAACAACACCTCTAATACGTATTCCGAGTACTAATCGAAGTTTGTGACAATATGGCCGTCACAGTTTGGCAAAATCATAATGAATCGATTAAACTGCGTTAAACTGTTAAATTAAAACAGTAGAAACAAAGAGATTTAAATTTTGTACATTTTTGAAAATAAAAAATCTTTTGTTTTTTAATTTTATTAATAAAATATTCAAAAATATTAAATGAATTTGTTGACATAACCTCACTTTTGTGTCACAATCGTGATAAACCGATTAAATAATTATTAAAACAGTAGAAATAAAAATATTTTCATTTTTTACATTTTTAAAAATAAAAATTCTTTGTTTTGTTTTGTAGTTTCCGGTGGTTTCGTGAGATTTACTGCACAATATTCAAAAATATTAAATTAATAAAGAATGAAGTGGTTGACATAACCTCACTTTCGTTTTAATAATTATTTGATCGGTTTATCACGATTTTGATACAAAAGTGAGGTTATGTCAACCAATTCATTTTTATTAATTTAATATTTTTGAATATTGTGGACAGAAAATCACACAAAATTAAAAAAACAAAAGATTTTTTATTTTCAAAAATATAAAAAATTAAAATCTATTTATTTCTACTGTTTTGTTTTAACAGTTTAACGCAGTTTAATCGATTCATTATGATTTTGCAAAACTGTGACTGCCATATTGTCACAAACTTCGATTATTACTCGGAATACGCATTAGAGGTGTTGTTAGTTACAAAGTTTATATAGGAAATCCTATACCATGATCGGGCTTCGATTTATATGGAAAATCAATCATTTTTCATATGGATATTTTAATTCAGTTATTGACGACATTGACATGAAAAAACAAAATATCAACAAAAGTAAACATCTAAACTAGTAAACTATTATTGGAGAGGAAAATATGGGTGATGGCTATGCTGGAGGACCCGTTGTAACGTCTGAAGGAAAATTACTAGACATTTTCTCTACTGTATGCAATTAATACAGTATGTTTCATTATAGAGAGAGGTTGATTTAACTACCACAAATTTCAAATATCCTAAAAATGTTTTTGGTGTTGCCATATGAGACTCTAAGCTACTACGCCAATTAACAATGACAGCTCTCAAATCAGTACAGTGTTTGTTGTGCAACGAAAACATTATTTCCGAACATTTTCATTCACGGTTTGAAGCCGTTTTTCTGCATTTGCATTCAAAAGGACAAAGAATGTCGATCACATCGACTGCTAAATACATTAAAAAGTCAAAAGGGTTCGTAATAAAGTGAATCCAGCAGTATAAGCATGAAAAAAAAGTGAACGACCAGCCCAATCTGAAGCCAAACTGAGCCTCCTCGCAACAGGAAGATAAACGGAGAGTCAAGTTGTTCGATAAAAATTTAGGTATGTTGTTGAGCTACGCCGTCTTAAAATAGAGGTCTCGCGCTCTACTATCAGGAGAAGATTAGATGTTGCCGGTGTTCGTTATCGCAGTAAATTGAAGAAACCGCTTTTGACAGAAAACCAGAAGAAAAAGGCACTGACGGGTCAAAGCAAAATTCAACAAGAGATTGGAGCGAAGTTATATACACTGACGAGTCATTCTTTTGGCTGGTGAATAGCACTACCCATGCCTAGTCTAGAGCCCAAAAGAGAATGGTCGTTCGCACGGTAAAGTATCCGAAAAAGGTGCATGCTTATGGTTGCTTTTGTGAAGCTGGTTTTGGAAAGTTGACCATATTCACGGGGATTCCAAGCGCCGTGAGGATGAACCAACATTATTCATCGACACCGTTACCCATCGCTAAGAAGTTCTATGGCAACCACAATTCGAATTGGCTTCTATTAGAAGACAACGATCCAAAACACAAAAGTCGTCTATGCAATGCTTGGAAAGAGGAAAATGACATTAAACAAATGGACTGGCCGCCACAGTCACCCGATTGCAATCCGAACGAAAATTTTTGGGCTATTATTAAGGCATGGCTTCGTGGTAAAACATACCGCAATTTGAAGCAGCTCAGTTCATTCATTCAGCGCCAGTGGAAAGGTTTTCAAAGCGAATATGCTGAAAATTTGAGCAAAAGTATGCCGAATAGATGTGCCTGTGTGATCGAGAAGGCAGGAGAATGGATTAAATATTAATTTGTGGCGCCGTAGCTTAGATACTAAATAGAATGTATATAAAATAATTTTGTAAAACTCTTGAGTTTTATTATAAAAAATCAACCTCTCTCTATAATGAAACATACTGTATATTTCATTCGGAAAGCAATTCGCCTTTATTTAACCAATTTTTTTCTCCTGTTTTAGAATGTCGGTCTTGGCAAAATTGGCGATAAAACCATGACATTTCCGCTATGTATGTCTGTTAATGGATATTGTGAATTTATTAATAATTCAAAAGTGAGTTCACATGCAATTTGTGTGTGAAATAAATTTCTGTAAATTGGAATGTGAAAGAGACTCTGGCTAATTTATTGAACGCAAATATCTATTTTCCGATATTTTGGAAGAGTTTTCTTTGACTCCTAAAGGTATTTCTAGCGTCATTTTATTAATCATGCTTTTTTCTAAGCCTATATTAAGAAGAATCAGCCGTAACGAACGGCAGTTTGCACGTAATGTCGAAAAGAAGAAGAAAAGTATTTTTTACATTTCATAAACCATGTTAATGCATTCGGAACGTTGCAAAATTGCGTTTCAAACGATCGACTACAACTTTTTATCAAAGTACATTTCATGGAAAGTTCACTGCTGCCTACGGCCGTGATCCGGCTCTTGCGGAGATCTTACGGATCTATCCTATCCAAAACACAATGTACGAAATTAGCGCATATGCTCTCAATTCTACCATTTGGGACCTAACAAACAAAAGCCTATAATTTAATACCAACATTTGATGAAATAATGACGTTTTTAAGTAATAAACCAGTAATAATTTTTCAACTGTTTTAGTAGAAGCATGTGTAAGAAATGAAAAAATAATTCAAAGAATATATTCTTATATTTTAAATAATTAGAAAACTGTACATTAATTACTCTGTTACAGACTCACAGTTGAAAAACAAATGAATTATAAATTCACATGAATTATCAAACTCAAATTAATTTAAATTTATTTAAACGGAAGTCAAATTCCGCTAAACAAAATGTAAATTCTTCACCAGTTTCTGTTGTAAAATCTAGACTATAAAAGCAAGCGTCAGCTCAATTGCTCTATTTTCCATTAAAAATTCTGTTTTCGAAGTGGGAAAAAGGTTAAATGATGTTTGGGTGTGAAGTATTTTTTTCTTTGCTTCTTTTGACGAAACAATTCTCGAGTAAATATCAAAACTATTGAATGAACTTCAACTAAATCATATTAATTTTTTAAATATCACTTTAGGAGTAAAGGCAGTAATATCATGTATTTCAAAAGATGTGTAATGCCCCAAAACAATATTTTGAAGAAGAGAAAAACTCAAAAATGCTCAAAATTTGAACAGATTGTAGAGCTACCAAGTTTGAAACTTATCATCTGAAATATGATGAAAAAATGGCAGTAGGTGATTTCAAGTTTCCTGCAGCTAAAATGGTTACAATCAAGAATTTAATTGGAAACCGAGAAAAAATGTCGATTTTCATCTTGGGTTACGAAGATTTTTTGCACGATTCTGGCAATTGTTGGCTTTTTACAAAGAATTAAGTAAATAAAATAACAATAAATAAATTTAATCAAATCGTTTTCAATTTTCAGCCTGAGGTCAATTTATAATAGCAAAAAGTAAATTTAATTCAAGGATATGTAAATCGCCTGCATTAGTAATTTTCAAATGTTCTTTTTTTATATAGAAGAAATGTCTAATACAAATGCCACTATTTGCATCATATCATATGATTTTCGTCGTGGGCCTGATTTTTTCAAAAGTTTGAAATACTTTTCGACACTCAAAAAGCGAGTGCCAAAAGGTGAGATTTAAATAATATCTGTCGCGGTAATTTTTTTTCTTCAACATTCTTATGAATTTTCAAAATGATTCTTCTTCGTATTTTAGTTGTTGATATGGCCACGACTTTCATACAAAATATTGTCGCTTCGAAGGAAATGAAAATAAATATACATATCTGGCGTATATTTAAGTGGATTTGGTTTGGGTGGACATATCGCTGGTAATGTTGGCCTTGCCTTGAAACGAATCAATAAAGGGCGAATGGTGTCAGCAATTTGGGGTACTCAAATTAATCTATTTTCTTAATAGACGAGTAAGATCTTTGTAAATTTTAAAAAATAGCATTCGATCCGCCACACATCGGTTTTCCAAATCCAAAGGAATGGACAGAGGGTAAACCTAGACGAGTGCAAAAAGGCGATGGAAAATTTGTTGTAGTTTTTCATACATCTACAATGGGAGTTCAAGACAGCACCGCCGACGTTGATGTTATTTTGAATGATGGAAAAAACAACCAGGTTCAATAAAATTTTAAAAACTTTATTTCACATAATGTGAAAAAGCGCCGGTAAAATTGACTTGCGATCATACAATACATCTGCAATGATGCTTCGTAGTTTGATTATAGTGAGCAAAAAAGTGCTTCCTTAAACGAATTTGGATTCATAAACGTCAAATCTAAGGATTCTTCGGAAAATTTATTTTAATACTGGTATTTTCAACAGTTGAATGGAAAGAATTTATGAAAATAAAAAACAAACAAATTTCAAAAGATATCGACCGAAAATCAAAGTCTTTGATTCAAAGATATCTCATTCCAATATCTCTTTAATATATATATATTAAAGTAAACCATTTGAAATATTCAATCAAAGAAGATTTTAATCACAACAGTCAATTTTCACCTTTTCACATTTAAAACAATTCCCATAGCTTCTGATGGTCGCGCAACCAAGGGGGAGTTAATTTCAAAAAAAAAATTCTATCTAAATCTCCAGCTTTTTCCGTTTTTTTTTGCTCCTTACTTTTTTGGCGAAAATCCCTAGCCCAAAAAATATTTCGATAATTTTTCTCAATTTGTATAAAGGGGTAATTTCCCAAATCCATTCTCCAGTTTGAATCGTTTGAATTTCAAAAAATGTGCAAATTAAATGAGTCAATATTTTACGATTTTAAAAACTTTATTTATATATTATTGAGAAAATAAAACAATACAGTTTTTACATTACATTAGTGTTTTTGTCTGTGTGTTTCTCTTAGATTTTACTTGTTATTTGTTTTCAAACTTAGAATCGTCCAAACGAAAGCCTTAATTTTGTATTTTAATTTAATTTAATTTATTCTGAATGATTATTTTTTGGGTCATCGTGTTGCTTCGTTTTTTTTTTTTGTTGATTTTATGAATTTTTTTTGTCTTAATCTTTAAGGTAGAGTTAATGTATTTATAGTTATGTTCATTTTCGAATGAAATTGTTCATGTTTTCTTTTGTTTCTTGTTTTGTGAAATAATTACAAAAAAAAATCTAACATAAACTCGAATAATAACACGATGTCTTTTTGTTTTGGTATTTTCATTCACAAAAATTAGTCAAAACGTCAGCGAAACAATGAAAAATTTATTCAATAAATTAGTAAACAAATGAGTTTGAATTCAGTTTCTGTATTCGTACATTTCGATTTCGATCTTACTGCATTTTCAAAATTTAAATGTTTCTTTATTACATTCTGTTTATGTTTTTTTTTTTTTTTTTCATTTTTTGGTGACTATTAAAAAAATCTTTGCTCTGTATTCAAAATATACGTTTAAAATACACGTTTACATTAAACGGGTGAAAAGTTTAAAATATATGTTCATGAATAAAAAAGAAAACTAATAAACAATGACACGCCTTAGTACAAAAAGAATGATCCAATTCTAAGTTTATAGTTTTAAATAAATTCTTAACTTAAGGAATGAACTTTCGAAAAATCGTTAAGTATCGATTTATCGTGTGATTCATAGATAATGAAGAAACAAGATAGTTATAAGTTTTGTGCTTGTGTGAATGCAGTCGAGAGGACTTTGGGAGGTTTTTTCCATTGATTTTGGTTGGTTTAAATAATTTTTTTTTTCATTTTCAAATTAACAATAAAACAAATTATATTATAAAAAATTCAAAGAGCCATTTTTTTATTTAAAATCAAAAGACTTAATTTTCGAACTATAATGCGTCCTACGGTTCAAACAAAAATTAAAATTTCGTGTTGCCAAATATAATAATTTTGTTATTTTACGTAACAAATAAAGAACAAATTCACAATAATTCCAAATCTAAATCAACACAAAAGTAATATTCTTTTGAGTGAATTACTTTTGCAGTGCGTTTTTTTTAATTATTCGTCTATTTTTTAATAATGTAACTAAGATTAAATCCAAAAATAAGCCTTTTCCCAAAAATGCACATATTTATACGTTTTCAAACGACGATAGTATTCGGTATTTTAAATACACCAGCGTAACGGGCAGTTTTTTTTTGGTATATATAATTTCTGAACAAAAGGTGATATACGAAAATCACAATCAGAATTTAATTGCCACTCCATCAGTTATAGAATTGTGTGCATTTCAAATATCCGAAAAGAAACTGTATGTGTGATCAAGGTACTATAGTTTTTAGCTATGTTGATCTGTTTAGCCACTTCTGTTCGATCTCACACACTTTCATTTTATAATTTGTATTCTATCATTTTGTATAAACTTTTTTTTTGTGTTCACTTAAGAATTACTTTATATTTTCTTCTTTTTTTCATTTAAAAAAAAACAATCATTATTTTATATAACTCACAAAAATACATCGATAGACGATACAATTCTGTCGAAAGTAAAGACAGAGCTTTTTTTGGCATTGTTAGTTTTTTTTCTTCGAGATCAACTTGTCACCTAATGAATAGATTTCGGGTGTCGCCATACATATTCATTAATTCAAATATTTATTTGTGTTACACACCCGGAAAGAATCTAGATCTTTTTTATACTACAAACACTTTGATAAAACACACAAATTTGTTTTTAGCGCCAATTGCCATTGGATATTTGCTTTCGTATGCACTTTTTTATAGTAACTGTTTTTAATACAAGTCCTGGAAGTGACGGAACTATATGCAGTTGTGTTAAACTCAGTTCAACTTAGGTTGAAAGTTCGCTTGCTAAACACCGGAAATTATATTAAACACTGACTCCACTATAACCAAAGTCAATAAAAGATGTCGATTCTTTGTCCAAATATTTAGTTAAATAGCATACAAATATCATATCATTGTTAGGTTTAATATAATTGATGTACTTTGTTGCATCTTTTAGTAACAATAAATGAAAAATAATGATGTCGTACACCACGAATTTAGATGCTGGATTTGTTGGTTCACTTTTTTAATTTTCATTTCTTCATTCATTTCGAGATTTTTTGTTCGAATTCATAAACACACATATATATTGAACGGCTATCACAGCATTCTTAGATGATACTTGTGCAATAGTTCAATGTTTTGCGGTTTCATTTTTGAACTGAAATCGATATACTAAAATCACTGCTGCACAATACATAATGTTTTTTTAGTAAATAATTTAACGTAGTGATTTGGATTATCAGTTGACAATTTTTGATTGTTTTCCTTTTCGAAATGCTTTAAGTATACACAAATGTAAGCGAAGGAATAAAGAAAGGAGAATAAGATGAGAAGATATGTGAAAAAAGACATGAAAATAAATGAATGCCCCGACAGAGCACCCATTGAGCGTGTGTATCAATGAACCCAATCCCAAGTGAAATGTCACTAAATGCATCGCTCATATTTAAATGTACTACTTAAAATCTTTAATCTTCATTTTTTGTTTTTTCCCAAAATGCAATCAAGCATATTTGTGTTTCTATTCTCGAAATGTCAATACTAGTTTTTATTAAGGATGCATCGAAATTCAAAGATTCACCCAAATTGATTAAAATTGATTGGATACGATAAAAAACAATAACCAACAGAGAGATTATACTAAAAGCGTTTCTTTCCAAAATGATGAGCGTGTTTAATAACGTGTTTTGATTGATGTTTTTTGGTAAACACAAAAAAAAATTTAACAATCAAATCAATATTTACGGGTTGATAATTTGTTGATAGTGTATTTATATTGCTTGTCTTTATGTTATGAGGCAAATAAATCTGTTTGAAATTATGCCTAGCATACGATTAGCATGCTACTTAGCTAAGCATACACCATGTTGTCATGTCAATTGACAAATTCAAACCCAGAAATATAGTATAACATATACTGCTTCTTGTTTCCAACAGAATGTGAAATAATTTGATGAACGTACAAACAGTACGATAAACAAAATTTGAAACCAAGCATATACAACCATCCAATAATTTAAACTGGATAAAAATGAAACATTTCAAATGGTGGTAATAATGATATTATTTCACTTTTTTTCGGTTTGTATATCTTGTTCATCATTCTTGATATCAAATCTTACTTTTATGCTGTATTATTTGCACGTTTGTTGAAACTATTTTTTTTTATTTCATTCAAGATTGTCTTTTTTGTTCACCAAAAAACATGTGTCTTCTATTTGGAAATTATGCATTCTTTTTGTTTATCAAAATTTTAATTTTTTCTTCATTTATTTACATTATAAATTTATCGATCAAGTTCGCAGGTCTCTCAATAGCTTTTAAAAATTACATTCGCGCATCTCTCTTTTTTTCTCTATATCTCTCTGTTGCTTTTACGCCATTTGCCTAAATTCTTTTTTATATAAAAAAAAATAATGAGAATAATTATTTTATCTAAAATTTGTCTATAATCGCGTCTGGAATTTTAAATATCTCTGGGTATGAGATGATTCGTTATTCTTTTGGTAGGAATATGACGAATTTTATATCAATATATTGTGAACAACACATCTCTCCCAGGCTTTGCAAGTTTCATTCAAAAGATGTGCACATTATTCGCAGATACTTAAAACATCACCGAAAAAAAGTCTTCGTACAATGTAAACGAATGTATCGAAATGTGTCTTCTCTCTGTTCTTTTTTTTCTTTACATTATTTTACATTGTCGTTGACACAGATGGTGTGTATTTATCTGTAAGCTTTGCGCACTTACAATGACAATGCACATCTTTTGGCATCGTTTTGTTTTGTTTGTTTGGTTGTTAATTTTCTTTGCATTTTTATACATACATGAACATTTTACAAAATACTAATACAAAAATACAGATATTTAGGTTGAAGGTGGTTATGTTTTCTTCGTTTCGGTGTATTTTATATTTATTGACCATTTTCGTGTCAACCTTTTCTATATAAATTTGAATCTGTTTAAATTCACCTTTTTTCCCGTTCATATCCAATCAATTTCAATGCAATTTATTCAATGGATCCATTCACAAGTCTTTATTATGGTCATTCTTCTTTCTTATCACCTCGCTATTCGCTTAATTGCTTTTATATGGGGCTCTTTTTGGAAAAATAGCCAATTGGCTATTCTGAACCATTGACATCTGTGAAAGCTGTAGCCTTTTTTTTGCTCAAAGCGGCGAAAATTATTATAATATTTTACACAGTACGCAATATATGTGTAGTTTTATATTTTTCATTCATGTTTTTTTTTTCATTAAGATTTAATTAGTTTGCCTAAATCTAAATAAAAATGTTTAAGTTTGCTTTTTTTAATCAAAGTGTGGAAATTTAAATTTCATATGCATTTTCATTGTATTTATGAATCAGTTCAGAACGAGCTGAGCTTAAATGGTCGGAATATAGATGTACTATTTATAGTTATTTTCAAATTGAACTTTTCATCATATATGCAAATTGTTTGCTATTTCACTATCTCCGATTATTTCCGGGTAATACGACACACATTTGAATTAATTCTTTGAAACAGCAAAAATGGTGAGCTATTCAATTATTCGTATATTCTTAGTCCCTAAATGTCATTTAAAACCAAAAGATCTTTGCTTCGATCATGACTTCTTTTTTTTTTGTATTACTTTCAAACTTTATCGAAACTTATTTCACATAATGTACCTAAAAATAAATATGATGCTCGACATGAATTGGTCTTCTTATACAAATGTTCTGTTTCTTCTCACGTCTTTTACGCCATTACATTTTGAATCAATTTGGATTTTTCTTCCAATTTACATTTACCATGATTTCAAACTTGTGTTTGACTCACTTGGTTTCGTTGATGTTTTTTGAAAGAAAGAAAGAAAAACGATCTTATTTTGAATAATGTTTAAATTACTTAAATTAAGCATTCTATAGAAATTCTTAAGTTGCATAGATTTAAGAGTCATGTATCTTAAAGCAGATTTGAACAAGAAAAGGACTTGACTATTCGTTCTATCTTCGAAGTGTGCAACATGTTATTTGTAATACGAAATAAAATATTCGTAATTTTTTTTTGTAAATATACAGTTGCCGTTCGTCGTCGACAAAGGCGACACTCTCAACGAAAAACATGTGAACATTCGATGTGCAATTTATCAAGTATCTCGTTTTCCATATTACATATAATTAATAGTTCATTTAATGTGGAAAAAATGGAAATTTGAAAAGTTATTTATCGATTATTGCTTTAATGATGAGTACTTTGATGCTCTTTTATTTTCCTTTTGGCTGATTTGTTTCGTCTATCAATTCATTTTAATAGCTATAGTTATTTGATGTATTTTGGTTCAAAAACAAAACAAAAAATATGTTTGAACAACAGATATTGACTTCTTTCATTGGAAAGTGATTATGTAGTTAAAAGCAGAGATCGTTTTGCAATTAACCATATCACATTTGTCACATATCAAAATATCTTCCATTTTGATTTTCTTTCACTCTTTGAGATCGAATGACAACTGTATTCAAAACAAGTCTCATTGATGCAACAGTTATGACATTCTCAAGTAAAATGCGAATCGCAAAATATCAGATACATTTATGCGTTAAATAAGACAAGAAAATCACTGTAGTATCCAATAAAATTCAAATTAAAACATTTAAATTATAACATTGCTTGATAATACTAAAAAATAAATAAATTATTGAGAGCTTTTCAAGCATCCGAACCGATTGTTCGCGCCACCAAAGAAAATTGTAAACTTATAACTGTACTGTTGCCGATGGTTTGACTGAAAGGGTCGTGCCATTGTTTTCAAACAACTAAAATGCTTCACCAAAACTTTGTTTCCTTTTTATTGCGTATATGTGCTTGTGTTTTGCATGTATTTTGTCTTATGTAACGGTTTATTCAAAGTTAATTATGATACACTTAGAATGTTCATTGAGATTTGTACAAAATACACCGGTTCAAATATTGTTGTTTTCAACTTCGTACGTCAATTGTTTTGAAGCCAATGACATCGTTATGAATGAGTAAAACATATTGGATTACATATAAGTTGCAACACAAACGACATAAATGACTGGAACATGCTATTTTATCTAATGGTAAGATATTTTTTCTTAACTTGTCGCATTTGAATTGTGTATCGAGATATAATTTCTCTGTCAAAAACTGTCAGTTATTAAACTGTCTTATTTTCATGTATTCAAAACAAATCACAATAAACATTGATTATGTGCATATTTGTGTTTATCTGTAGTACTTGTTCCTTGATTATGTTATATTGAAACAAAAGTAGGAAGAATATTGATCAAAATGATAAATTAATCATATGGAATTCCAGCAAAACAGTCGGAATGCAATGGGCTTTAGGTCTATTGTATGCTTTTCATTTTAATTACACCGAGAAAAAAATTTAAACTAAGGATGGTTAATGAAAAGTTCAGCATAAAATATGCGAAAATAAAAGGATATTCTGAGTTTCAATAAGATTGAAATGTGTGTTGTAACCAGTGATGAGCACATTAGCTGGCTAATTTGCCATCACTGTGTACACCGGCTAACGAATGCGTAAGCCAGCACTAACACACGTCAGGAGAATTGGACGTTTTCACACGCATACTATCATACACAGTCACACAGACAGTGTAGACAGTTAGCTGGCTAACGATTGGTGTACACCAAATGTTGGTATACACCGAGGCTAAGACAACGCTGGCTAACGCAAAACCATCACTGGTTGTAACCTTATAAAAGGTTCAGATCGAAAGATAACTAAACAAATCAGTAATACAATTCAATATTTCAGATCAATCATATATGTGTACTGTATTTTTTTTGAATGAAGAACAGAGTGAAGTTAAGAGGAGAATGAAGCAGTTTTATCTCAATTCACAATTAACATCTAACATACGTCTGAATTGGCAAAATTCTATGAAATCGTTGAAGATTCTAGCAGAAAATCTAATTTTTTATTCCGTATGGTTGAAATGCATTTAATTTCAGTTTGATGTTTCATGAACTAATAACTTAACAAATTCTTCATGTCCACCCAAATGAAATTTAATGAATAAATTGACTTTAAAATAGACGTCGTACTTTTCTGAGTGTTAAAAATATAAGATACAATGTAACTAAAGTTTTCATAGCTATTCCGCATTATAGAAAAGAAAGTTTGGTTGAGAAGAGCGCATTAATTTCAACAAACTCTGTTCTTTGACTGATATGCTTGTGTACGATTTTGAACAAAGAAAACGCAACTTTTAATTTGACGCTTGTTTTATCATATGATTTTGAAGTTGGAAGTGTGTCGACTGAATTTAACTGGAAAAGTTGTTCTTCTGTAGAAATGACACTTGAAAAAAAGCTATACCGAAATACATTTCAATGAAATAAAGTAAATTTGATCAATAATTTCGATTTGGGTGTGATTTTATTTTTGACGTAGAGTATGAAAAGTACACACATCCTATTTTGGTCAAGAAAAAAAAAAATGTCAGATACGAAAGTGTGTATTCTGTATGTAAGATTGAACATAAAAGTTTATTGTATATTTCACCCAAGCAGACGATGTTGCTTTGCTGGATTTTTTGAGACTTGAATCCGTTTGCATGTCTTTTTGGTCAGAATATAAAAATAGAAAATATTAAAACTTATTCATGTACTTCCTTATCCGCCTCACGTATGGATTGGACTGGATTGGATAAATTGTATATTGTGTATGTCTGTGTGAGCTTCCATGCCAATATTGTGTGTAGCGCTAATTTTTACGTCTATACTAAATATACATAGATCCTGATCTGACGAATTATATTTAATCCTGTATCATATTATAATGAAAATTTTAGGTGCAAATTGTTTTCTTGTTTTTCTCTTGCAATTTACTCACTGGTTTGAATGCGTGTGTTTAATTTTTGTAAGTGTTTTACACTTGTTTAAATTTCTCTTTTGGCATTTATATTTTTTTTTTTTTTTCGTTTTGACCATTATTTTTCGATATCGATTCTTCATAATTTTGCCGACTAATCTGAAAGTAATTTTCTCCCATTAATATCAATCAATATTTATCCTTTACTTTGGTTATATAGTGAAGTTATTTCATATAATCAGATTTTTTTCTTATAATATTTTCTATAAAATTCAGAATAATTGGCAAATTTGAGCTACTCCATTTAACTGATTTGAAAAAATGTGTTTTTCTTCTTCAATTTACTCCGAGTATTCTCTTACTACAATTTTCAAATTGATCTTAATTGTTTGTCGAACTTTCAAAATACTTGATTTAATCTCTGCTAGTTTTCGAATTCAGTATTTGAGCCGTATGATGATGAGCTAGCTGACGCACGGTGTGTGTTCAAATGACTGTTAATTGTCAGCTAGATTATGTTCAAACAGTGACCATTTACGGTCAGGTTTTTTTTGTTTTTGTTTTTGGTTGAAACCGCATGCGACATACGATCCGTATACATTGCTTATAAGAGAGATATTTGTCAGCAGTTATCTCATCCAGCAAAATAGTTGCGACTCAATGTGTATGTGTGCGAGCTGTAAAATGTGTAAACGGAACCGTGCGTTGTGTAACATACAAATAGCTCGTAAATATGTTTCTAATTGAGTTATCTGTGGAATAGTATCTATCTTCAAAACAATGCATGACCATCCATCGATAATGCAATTTTTTTTCTCTTTCTTTCTTCACTTATTCAGATAATAGCAGACAATTGATAAAATTTTCCAGTAAACTATTTGGTAATTATATTAGTAAACTTAGTTCGCTAAATATTTGTTTTAACAATTTTTTCTGTATTTTGTTTATTGGAGTTTATTAAGCTATTTCTCGAGCAGTATGTTGGTTGTTCATTGTTTGTGATCGAAATGGATTTCAATGTATGTTTCTTTTTCTTCTTCTTTCTTTCTTACTGATGGTATAGTGGCATAAAATGATAAACACAAAAATTTATCGATTGTGTATTTGTATTTATATTGCGGTTAATTTGTGGATCGCATGCAAATAGTCGTATACTTTGGTGGGGCAAGAAGTCTATGTCGGGCCCTTTTTGTATATTTTTATTTTTTCGTAAAAAATCAACATTTTTTTTTGAAGGCACTTTAGATCGGACGATGCGGCCCAAGTGTAGTAATTTTTTTCATTCAATTTCGATCAGTGAGTGAATTTGTAAACCATAGTTTGCCAAACGTATGTGTGTATCTACCAGTTATTGTACCATTTTTTTTTTTCATTTTTGTGTTGCCTTCATTACTATTGCATAACGGATTTGGATGTGTGTCTGAGAATTTTATGGCTATTTCAGTTTTGAGAGTATTCGCCTATTTGCATGTCACATCGCCAACTAAATAGAATCAATTTTAAACACTGTTTTTTTCTTTGTTTCTTGGTTTTTATTTGCATATTCTTATCATATTTTCTCTCTTTTTGAATGTCCAAAACAGTTGATTCGTTCGTTGCTTTGTTATTTGTGTTAATTATGTACAAAAAATCAATATAATTAGAAATTAAGCAAAACTTATATATACAGTATGTTGCATTGTACATTAAGGTGTTTCCCATATCTGCAAATAAAAAAAATGGTATTTATCAATTTAAA